GGGGGGCCGCAGCCCCCACGGCTGCTCAACCGCCGCACTGGTGAGAGCCACGGACCCCCCGGCCATGCCCTGCCCCAGCCCGGGGGGGAGAGCGGCAGGGTCCTCCAGAGCCAGGAGAAACAACGCAGGCAAATAAACCACCAAAAGCCACCCGAGTGAGCAGGGCTGCTCGCGCAGGGGAATATTTCGCCTCTTGGCTATTGTTTAACCAGCGTAAGAAAAGGGAAATATTTATTGTCTCTGAATGCATAAAGGTGGCTCTGGGATTTGTCAGCGATGTGGATATTACAAAACTCTTTATCTGGAGTCTTCCAACAGTCTGAAGTGAACTGTGTTGGGGAAGAAAAAAAAAATCATAAAAAATAATATCCACTTTTCTATAGCGGTATAAAGCATCTAAATATGGGCAGTGATATGCTACCCTCCCAAACCTCTCTGGCATTTCAGGAATGTAAACAGAGGGGGGGTTTGTTGGTTTGTTTTCTGGGTTTTTTTTGTTTTGTTTTTTTTTAAGTGGGTGGGGGAACAGAATCAAGCGACCAGACAAAATGAAAACAGATTCTCAGCTCAGTCCCGTCTCCCACAACTGCTACGACAACTCTATTAAAGTGCATTTCAGTATCACCCCTCTCAGGAACCGTACACACACAAACCGCCTCTTCCTTCACAAGAAAAGGTAATTCAAGTTAATACTTCGCTAGAACAGTTTTAGCCTTTTTATGGATTTCTGCTTTTCCCCGCCCCGACTTTGTAGCAACATTATTTTTTTTTGTTAGACCGGAAACGCCCCCTCCCCAACAATACTGTAAATTCAAGTGCTCACTTCAACTGTCACGGGCAACAGTTCTGGATACAGCACACTTGATTGTACAAGCAACACCTTATATCACAATCAAGAAATCAGGGCACTCTGCCCTCCGAGGGAGTAACACCTTCCCCCTCCACCATCCATAGCATCATATGAAAAATAATAGTTAAAAAAACCCAGAACATAATTAGCTATGAACATTGTTTGTTATGTACACTGGCTCCTGCAACAGATGCATGAACTCCGTTAGTTCTCAGTTTTATTGTCCTTTCTAAGAGCAACTGAGCAGTCACTGTTGTCTCCATTTAAATAAAACAACTCAGAGTTGAAATATATATATATAGATATATATAAGCATTTTTTTCTTAAATAACATATTTACATCTAATAGAAAATATAACTCTAGAGATAATCTTTCCAACGAAATGTAAGACGTGGGGAAAAAAAAAAAAAAAAAAAAAAATGAGTAAATGAATTTAGGAAAGTTTCTAAATCCTCCCCAGGACACAAAAAAAAAAAAAAAAAAAAAAAAGGAAGAAAATAAGAAAGAATAAAAAAAAAAATTTAAAAAAGCCCACCAAGTTCTAACCAAGCTTTTGTCTGGATCTGACCGAAGAAAACCCCAGCACCACCTCCGCCAAACTCATCGCTTCTCCTTAAAGAATCCTTGGTCCGTGCTGCTCTCCTTGATGGTGACGGTCAAAAAGTTAGAGGTCACATCAGTTACCACCACCTTCTCCAGGTTGTTGAGAGAGGGGCTCCAGGACTCCTCCTCGGGGTCCCCCAGGATCCTGGCGACGGGGGTCCTGGCGATGAGGGAGGGCCGCCCCGCCTGGCCCCCCACGCCGGCGCGGTACAGGCTGCCCACGGCGCCCGGGCTCACCGCCCCGTGCAGGAGCTTGGGCCCGCCGGGGTCCAGCCCCCCCTGCCCCTTGGGGTCCAGAAAGTCCGCCCGGTGCTTGGCCAGCCGCGCAGGGTAGGTCTCGGCAGCTCCCAGCTTGGCGCCCACCTCGGCTCGGTTGGGGCCGGGCAGGGTGCCGGGCAGGTCGGGGTCCTGCCGCCTGGCCAGCTGGATGACGCTGTGTCCCGAGCCGAACTTGGCCGCCCCTGCCGCCGCCTCCTCCATCTTCCTGGCCTTCAGGTAGTCCCCCACCTTGTCCCCCGGGTCCCCCAGTTTCCTCTTGGAGGCATCCAGACTCTCCGCCAGGTCCTTGTAAAGCTCCTTCCTGGGCTTCGGGCCTCTCTTTTTGGGGGTCTCCCCGGGTTTCTCCTCCACGCGGATTACCCGGTCCCGGATGCCGTCTCCCTTGGGGGTGCTGGTGCTGGAGCTGCCCTGGGGAGCCAGGGCTATGTTCCGCAGTCCTTCCCTAGCCCGGGACGTGGAGCCCAGCTCCTGGGGGGACCTGCCGGGATACGGCACCCGGATCCCCCTGGAAGAGTCACTGCGGAATTCATAGGTTTTGGCTTTTGCCTTTGCCTGGGCCTGCAAAGAAGATAAATCAACCGGTGACTTTATTACCCCGCCACCCGGCCGCGTAATTACAACTTACGAGACGAGGGGCCGCCTTCGCAAGGAGCATCCTCCTCGGGGGCCGGAGAGGGCCCCGCTCCCGCTGCGGCGCGCAGCCCCGGCCGGCCTCGGCGCGGAGCTCCGGTACTCCTTACCTTTAGCAGGAAGGTTTTGGGCTTGGGGCCTCGCTTTTTGGGCCCGTATAGCTCCATTTCTCTCTCCCTAGAGGTGTTAAAAAAACCAAAGCTTCAATTCAGCATAGCTACAAGGCAGCAGCACATTTACAAGCGCCCCGGCTACGGCTGGCGAAGGCCCTGTACCTTTCCTCGAAGGCGGCAAGCAGCCGGGCGTCCAGGATGTTCTCCTCGGGCTC